GAATGAATAGCCAATCTGTCCTGTGTCCTGCAGCCCTGCAAAGCGCAGAGCCCGATATGAAAGAATTATCTGGGGAAATGACTTAGTTACTACATTTCTATTGCTTTCCATGTTGAAGAACTTTGTGTTGTTTCTATTTTAATGTACTTTTAAAGTTTAAATCACATTAAAAGCTTAATTTGTAATTATGAGTGAATTATGATGCATTTATATACCGTCACCGTCACTCACAGCCGCTCGCACGTGTTTTGCGCATGAGCCGCAGGCAGCCCAAAATTAAACGGCTTAATCGACCATCGATAGCTTTAATCGATTGCATCTCGTATCGACAATTAATCGATCATCGATTAATCGTTGACATCCCTAGTTCAAACAAAGCCCCAGCAGAACTTTTGTGCGTCAGAAACACAGCGGTGTTTCGTTCCTGAATGAATCTGTTACCTTTTTTTGAGTCAATGATTCAGTGAGCAATTCATAAAGAAAGTCACTTGCTTCGTTTCCAAATTAATCATCCATTCGAAGGAGTTGGTTGAATGAATAACTGAAAGACTCACTCAATCATTACGATGTGACTTGCCGCCACCTACTGGAGGTTTTAGTTTCATATTTTGAGTATTATTTCATTTTTTCTTTAATTATTTCAAATTTCAATACTCATTTTTTCAAAACCATTAATGTCCATCTTATTATCATTATCATCATGCAATGTTGAATCAAAATATTTCTTTCTAAAGCTACTTTTATAATGTCTATTCAATGCTTTACTCATCTAACACAATGTTTTTAAATTATTAAGACGACAATTTAAGCTAGAATCCAAGTAGTATTCTTGGAACACATTTTGTCTTTAAAATACAACCTTGTAAATAGGATTTTTAAGGATGAGAATTTATTTGCAACAATTAATGAAATGACTCCAGACTAGTGTTGCTTTCGTCAACGAAAATTATGACTAAATATCGTCGTCAACGAACCTTTATCACGTGACGAAAACGAGACGAGACGCAACGTAAATGCTGGTCATGTGACGATGACTATAATTAAATGTATAATGCAATATTGTTGACGAATAAAAACGTGACTAAATGTGGTTTACAAAATAAAAACTATGCTAAAATGTCTCTTCATTTTCGTTGACCAAAACGAGACGAAACGAAATGTTATAACGTTATTTCGTCTCATTTAGTCACGTTATTATTATTATTATTTTGCAGTATTTCTGTTTCCTGTGTCTCCATCAGGTCGCACTCCGCAGACGCAGGCGACGTCACTTCCTCAAGCCCCACTCGAGGCATTATTTAGAAGACGACAAAAAACATAGTTAAGTCTGACACAGAGAAAGGGACCGATGGCCGGCCAGCCGGGGTACGTCTTTATTTAAATTTATGTGTGTGTACTTCTAACATGTTTGGTTGGTAAAATAAATGTTGTAAATTCAAATCAGAGCGTCTTCCGTGTCTGGAATGGATGTATTCTTGAGTCTATAAGGTAACAATAATATAATAAGATAACCTTGTTTGAAATGGGTTTGGCTAAAAGAAAATTTTGGTTTCGTCTATAATACTAGGTACTTATTGACTGGGTTAAATAGAATTGCATTACTAAAAAGAGACTAAAATACAATTTTCATTCACTAAAACTAGACTAAATGTCATCAATTTTCGTCGACTAAAACTAGACTAGACTAAAAAGAGTATGAACGTGACTAAAACTAATAAAAACTAAAATGACAGTTTCACACAAAGACTAGACTAAAACTAAAAATTTAAACAGGCCGCCAAAAACAACACTAAATGGAAGTGTGTGCAATTACCTGAGTCTGTCCTTCTTCAGGTCAAGTCATATTAGTGAAACCGTTTGCCATCAGTTGTTAGAAGATGAAAGCAATATCTTTGTCATAGCATCCTTTCAGCGTTTAAGGGGATTTCCCACGACTGGCATCAGCGCTGTTCAATGCATTGAATCAATGGCATTGTTCTCTATGAAATGAAACATCAGCTTTAGCATTACCCAGATAATGCGTTGATTGTCGAAGTGGCTTTCAAAGTTAAATTAATTTCAACACCATGTTTCATTCATGAATGAATCAGTGTTTTTATGCATATTAGTTGAATGAACTGACCGGTTTAATGATGACTACTCATAAAGATCATTCCTTGCCGCCACCTACTAGTGTAACAATGTAACTGCATTGACTGACAGTCCTAGTGCTGATACTGCGGAAATATCAGCACGTTTGGAAAGCCTCTTTATATAGCATAATAATAATAATAATAATAATAATAATAATAATAATAATAATAATAATAATAATAATAATAATAATAATAATAATAATAATAATAATGTGTTAATATCGTAATTGATCCACTCGAAATCACGGTCAGCAAAATTTCCTGACAAAATTCTTGTGCAAACAAGCGCAAGTGATATTATTTCTGTTTGGCCGTACCTTCCTCTGTTAACAAGCTTTCAGTTTTATTTACTTGAACAAGTGTAAAATGAGAAGCAAACTAACTGACTGTTACCTACATAATATCCTGACTTTGTCAGTAATTCAGCTGCAGCCCGATTTGGAAATCATTTGAAAAATAAGCACTTGCTTCATGTCTCTCATTAGAGGTCACTGATTTTGCAAGCGTATGGCTGTACTGCTTTTTTTCTTGAATAGCTGTTTTAGGCATTGAACTCTACTGTACTATGCATGTGATTGTTTCTATGTTTTCATTGAACAATAAAACTTTGAAAATAAAACTGCATTAGTTAAGCAGATTACAGAGTAATGTTTTCTTTTTATGAATTCATTTTTAAATATTACCAACTCATAAATGATGGAAACCATGGAAACTTTAATTTAAATATAATATAGTTTGGTATA